GAACTCACCAAGGCCAGCTGGCCTGCGTCTGAAAAAGCATGGGATAAAACCGGTCTTGCTAAACATAGCGGACAATGAGGACTACTGAGAACTCAAGAACAATGGCAATGGGTTTTTGATCCTACTGCACGTACTGGCTTTGTGGGAGCCTAGGCAGTTTGGATGCTCACCTTACTAGACCTGGATGGAGGTGGGTGGTCCTTGGACTTCCCACAGGGCAGGGAACCCTGATTGCTCTTCAGGCTGATGAGGGAGGGGGACTTGATCGGGGGAGGGGGAGGGAAATGAGAGGTGGTGGTGGGGAGGAGGCAGAAATCTTAAATAAATAAATAAATAAATAAATAAATAAAATAAGAACGAAAGAAAGTAGGTCTTGAACAGAACTTATGATGGACCAAATAGGAAAAGACTTTAGGGTGACATGAATTTTATCCTGGGTAGCCGAAAGGATGAAGGGGCTGTTTGAAAGGGATGGCAGTAACCTAGTATAGGATATGTAGAGTGAGAGATCTGATGGCGACATCAAGTCGGTTGAAGCCTCAGGATATGCTGTCACATTCGTACGTCAGCTGCTACTGTGTGATCTGTTTCAGGTACTTCTTTGTATACAGTGCTTTGCCATCGACCCGATACCCTAGCTAGGGTTTTACTCTCTTTGGCTCCATGCTCCAGGTGAAAAAGTGGAGTCATGGATGCATTTATCCATTTCCCTCAGCCTGGGAATGAGGCATCTGGGTTCAGAGCCCTCATTCTAGAACTTGGGGTACATACATCTTCACTGGATGGATGTGTCTGAGAAACATCATCATGGCAGCCCACTTTGGACTGGCTCAGGCATCAAAGGTCTGGCCCTGGGAGAAGAGCCATCTAGCCCAGCACAGGGCCTTCTCTCATTTCAGAGAAACCTGTGGCCTCAGGACATTCATTCAGTCAAGCCTGCGTAAAATAGCTCATTCCAGAATCTGAAGCTGGTAAATGAATAGTGGCTAGGGACCAAATGAGAACAGCGTGTTCGCTACAAGGCCTTATTAACCTCCCCACCCTCCTTTGGCTAGCCTTAATTTATCTCTCAAAGGAAATATGGATGTTTTCACCCATAAAGGTAAAGATCGGTATTGAAATCAGCATTTTTGATATGTGGGTTTAATAAATTTTATTTATAACTAGGTAAACACAAACGGATTGTTCTTAAAAATATATCAAAGTCTGAAGAACAACATACAAGCCATTGCCCCGTTAATAAATGGAGTATTGCCATCATCCATCCGGAAGGGCTTTGATTTCCTACTAATCACAACCTCCTCCATCACGGCCCCTCCCTCAGCTGCTTCCCACCCCCACGCCCCAGGCTCATGGCAATAACTTGTCTTTGTACCTTTTTTTTTTTTGACAGCTTTACAACCTACACATTTGTCGAGGAAGCTGTGATTTAAATTAGTCTGGTTCTGAACTTTGCAAAAATGGAACAGTGTTCTAGCTAGTATTTTGTGACTTTGTGGTTTGTGAGACTTGCCCATCTTCTTCCCTGTGGCTGCAGTCCCTGTTGTTTCTATGCTGTGCTTTCCATCATGATTATAGCATTCTACAGAAGTTCATTTACCAGGCTACGGCTGGACACGTGGGTCCTCTCTACTTTGGCAGTTAACAAAATGCTTCTGTGAACATTCTTCTAATGCCTTTTCTTCCTTTGCACTGAGACATGCTCTCGTAAAGGTGAGCCTCAGATTCCTTATACGACCAAGGATGTCACTGGACTTTTTAAAAAAAATATTATTTTTATGAGTTCTTTGAGAATGTCATGCAATGAATTTTGGTCATGTTCATTCTCCTTCCTCCACCCCTTCCCAGACCCAGCTTTTCCACCCTCAACTCCCTACCCAATTTTGAGTTTTCTCTTTCTCCTTCTCTCTATAGAAGAAAACAAAACCAGTGTGATACAGTTTGTGCCACCCCAACTACAACTGGGGTCACCCTGTTAAAGAAAACTAACTCTCCCCCAAGCAGCCATCAAATGCTAATAGCATGTGTGCACCCATATATTATACAGGTTGGCCGATTCCAGTGTGAAGGCATTTCTCCATGTCCTACCTAGTTAGCTTCAACCATCAACTGGACCCAGCCTAGAGTCACCTGAAAAGGGAGTCTCATTTGAGGAATGCCTAGATCAGATTAGCCTGTGGGCATGTTGTGTGTGTGTGGGGGGGTGTTTCTCTTAACTGTTAATTGATGCAGGAGGGTTGAACCCACTGTGGGCAGTACTGTTGCTGGGCAGGGGATCCTGGGCTGTATAAGGAAGCTAGCTAAGTATGAACCTGAGAGCCATGCAGCCAACAGCATCTCTTTATGGTTTCTGCTTCAAGTTCTTACTCTAGTTCCCTTCCTGACTCCCTTGAGTGGTACATTGGAAGCTGAAATAAACCCTTTTCTTCCCTACTTGCTTTTGATTATTGGGTTTTATCATAGCAATAGGAAGGAAAGCAGAGCACCCTGGGTAAGATCCTATCCTGATCTTAGCCTGTATCAGCATGTTGACATGTTCATTGGCGTCCATCTCGTCCTGTTGAGAAGGTGGTAGGAACACCCATGGCAGACAGGGAGACACTGAGGACAAGGAACGACCACTTTTGAAAGTAATGTGTAGTTTTCCCAATAGCTGTTAAGAGTTTCCCTTTGTCTTTAGTCTTACACGATTCTGAGGTCTACTTTTAGTTACTCTGATTGACATTCCTGGGGATTTCTAATCTGAAAAAGAAATTCTTTCACAAGTCCTGGGAAGTTCTCAGCCAGCAGCGGTTTTTCAGATACTGCCTTCCTCCCATTCTCACATCCTTAGGAACTCAGATATACGGATGAGAACGTCTCCCTGTCCACTGTGGGCGTTCCTTCCCCTCGGTGTCTCCCTCTCCACCGTGGGCATTCCCTCTCCTCAGTGTCTCCCTGTGCACCGTGGACTTTCCTTCTCCTCAGTGTCTTTCACCTTATTTCTTTGCCCTTCACGCTGTCCACTCACTGTTGTATTTGAGGTAGTTTATTTTTCTCTTCTTAAGAAATCCATTTAGCTGTTTCTCATGACTACGTGTTCCTTTCTCATATTTCCAGCTTCTTATTTCCTTACACACACCATATCTAGCTGCACATCCTGCTTCCTAAACCCACTATCTGAATTCTTTGCCGGGCTGACTCTATTTGCTCAGCCTTCCAATATCTTCCTTGTTCTTGTTCATGGTAATTTGATTTTCTATGTACTTTGTGATTTACTACTGTTGTGTTTTTACCACCTTCTTGGGATATTCTGCCTGAGATGGCTAGCTTGTGGGCACTCTCTTCCAGAAAGGGTTAGTATTTTTCTCTCACAGGTATATGAAGCTATGTGGAAATATTTCAGCTGAAATTTAGGCTGAAAGTTTTTCCAATATACACAAATGATGCATTTATCCAATTATTCTTTATCAATAAAAAATCAGGAGTCAGATATTGGGGTAAGAACCTGAGAGATCAGAGAAACAACGGATTAGCCTCCAGTGACTTCCTACCTCTTCCATTCCTTCCTCCAAAAAGGGCCCAGATCCTCTCTAAGCCCTGCCTTACTACTTCCTCAGTCCTCCAAAACCTCTATGGTTAATTTTGGTCAGGTAGTGGCTAGCTTTACCCTCAGATTCAAAACAAACTTTACTATTACTATGTAATCAAAATATCACACAACACACAAATCCCTATGTGGGACCTTACATCAGATTTTTCTTTTTCTCTGTCCCTTGGACCCAAATTTAAGGTAGACATTTTTCTTTGTATCTCTAACTAAAGATAAAGGTATCCCCGATGTACTCCTTTTAACCTCTGGGAATTCTCATTTAGGCATCTGATTTTTTTGTTAGTTTGTCTATCTTGGGTTGACTGAAGGTTCATTCTCCTTTATCATCACATGGGCCATACGTACTCAGACTCAGCAGGGGGTCTCCTGTTTGTTCAGCCGTCCTCAGGGTATGGAAATCAGCTAAGCTTCACTTACATTTCTAGTTTTGAGATTTCCCTTGGCCGCTTGATAGCACCATGCTGTATATATATGTTAATGTTAATATACTTTATCTAAGAGATCTTTTCCGTAGTAGTTCAAAGTCCCTGATCCTCCACCAGGGAATGGCAGTCCTACAACAAACCTATTACAAGCTCATCTTTACTTTCTAGTTGTCTTATTTGTACGAGTATCCTTTTGCTTTCTGTTTGTCTAGGGGCTTTAGAGGTGATGGTCTGGTTTTGACAGTCTGTGTAATACAGACTGTTAGGGAATGGTTTGTCGTAGTTCATCTGACATAATCAGCAAGTGATGAGGGCCTGCCTTGTGTCAGGCAGCATTGTAGGAAGTGAGCAAAACAGACAAAAGGTCTTCCTCCCTGGTGATCTTGAATTCTAGCTGAAAACAGGGATATAGCGGGTCACATAGCAATGATGCTATAAATTAAATAAATAAGTAGAAGGCAGCCTTGCATTTGTGGAGAGAATAGCTCACAGGTGATTTGCCAAGGGATAATAGTTCCATGGAAAAGAAGCCATGAGCCCTCAGTGCAAAGATCCAGGAGTTTCATACATGCCCAAGAAAATAAGGAATGCAGATTCTCTTTTTTTCATTTCCATACTGCAACAAGTATTCCCTCTGAAATCTCGATTTTCCCTTTCTGTCTCTTACCCCAACTATAGCTTCGGTGCTTCAGCTGGGATAACTGACTATATGATCTTGTAGGTTTCTTAATCTCTGTGCTGGTTTGCCCTCCTAATATCAATGGATCAAATGCAAAAAACATTTGTAAAGGTGCCTGATAGTGACTCTCTATGAAGCCTCATTCAATCTATTTTCTCTCTCCTCATCCCAAGTGTCCCCTTGCTTTCTATGATGGCTGCCGTTGCATAGGATCTGAGTGACATCAACGTAAGACGAGTGTGATAGACGTAAGCAAAAGATAACTATTTACATCGTATCCTCTTGGATTTCCATCTCTTCTCAGCCCTCACATTGACCATGCCTTGCTGGACCTGCCCCTCCTTCGACTCTTTAAGAAGGTGCCCTCTAACCTCCGAGAGCAGCTGGACAACCCATTCCGAGGATACCAGCAGTCCTAGTGTTGCTCCTTCATACACGGACCTGCAGCTCCTCAGTGCTGAGGAGCAGGCAAGTGGCCGGGCTTCCAGGACCGACTCCACGGGTAAGTCAGAGTTCCAAGCTAGAGCTCTCTGCAGATCACTTTTGGTGTACGCAGGTCCTCCTTAAGCTCCTCTTTCCCCCACAGCCAGCTTTGTCTGCAGAACAAATACATATGTGGTTGTCTGGTTCGAACGCTAGCATCCTCAGTGGTTTGTAATGGCATCGGGAAAATGGGTAAACAGACTGACTGGTTACTTGGCCAAGGATTCATGTTGGGAAACCATTTGATGGTGTGTATCAAAGCATTGCTCTTTGTTTAGCACAAGTACTGTTTCCCTGTCAATGCATCCTCTTCCAGTTGCTGCTGAGCTGTGTCTAATATTCACGAGGCTGAATCACTCATCCTACCGCCCACACACCTCTCTTCCTCAGCAAGAGGAAGGTGAATCTCAACAGGGAGAAATTAATTATTAAGTGAAACAGAATGAGAATCTGGGTTCAACCTTAGCATCCAGACTGCTAAGGATTATGCAGCCAAATGCCTGTAGCATTGTGCCTTATTGAGCTATGTGACAGCCTGTAATGTCCCATGGTCTCATTTATCAAACTTTGCAGTAGGCATAGGGTGGAAGTCTGGTCTTCACCACAGGTAGACAATGGGTCTGCCAACAAGCAGTCTCACGGGCTCTTTGGGATGGTACTGGAAAGATATATGTTCTTGATGTTCACTGCTAGCTGGTCTATGGGAGAAATTATTCTCAGACACACCCCACGGTGTCAATAGTTTTTTGTTTTCCTTCTCAAAAATATTGTGAAATTTGTCTCTAGGTCATTTCATTTTTAAAGTTTAGATACATTTTTTTTTTTCTCATGCAGTACGCTGGTAGATTCTACAAGCATTAACAGTGATCCTGCATAGAAAGTCAAAGGTTCAGGCAGGATTTGCTTTGGAATTTGATAAAATTGTCCACCAGCGTAGTTAACCAAAGAATTCATCTTTACCAACCATTCTTCCTTATGGCATTTTGTTTTCATAAACATTCCTTCAGCGTGCATTAGTCTCTGTGGCTTATGTGGCTGTTATGTGCCCCACAATTCCATTTCTACCATGGGACAATCTCGTCGGTAGGCGGTACCTGCAGCGGCTGAGCCTGTTAGGCAGAGAGGCTGAGTGTCCCCTTCACCTCTCATTGCCTTCCACTTCCTCCCCAAGCCTTCACAGGGAGGAAGCACACACTCTTTGTAGTGTTTATGGATGCTCAGATTCAACAGCCATTGGTTCAAATCCTGGTTCTGTCATATACCAGCCACACACCTTCACCAATCCTTACACTGTCTACATGCATATATGTATATTGACATGTGTGTACAAGTATGTTCTTATATTTTCACATCATTTTGACCAAATACCTGACAAGAAACAACTTAAGGGGGAGAAGTTTTTAGGGCTCGTGGTTTGAGAGGACATAGTCCATCCCAGTAGGCCAGGCATAGTAGTAGCAGGTGGCTTCATGACGTCCAGAGCATGCGGCAGGGACGCGTCACCTGATCATGTCTTGGTGGAACAGGAAACAGACAGACAGGAAGCAGTGTCTGGTAAATTTCAAGACCTGCCCCTAGTGACCCAATTCCTCCAGCGACAAACACCACCACCTGCTGAGAACCAAGGGGATAATCGTATGGGACTATGGGGAACATTTATTAAAACACTATAGCCCTGAGTGGGGGCGGGGCGGGGTGGGGGAGAAGAGAGACTGTGTGTCTGCGACTCTCAGGATCAGACAGAGGGTCACAGGCATGACAGGCCAAGTGTTCTGCCCTGAGCTACACCTGACACATCTCCAGCCCTAGACCCTTGATATCTTTATGACTCAGTTTCATCATCTGCCAAATAGAAATAATAGCAGCGTGTACCTTACCAGGCGAGACAGTTTATATAGAATAACCTACACGATGCCTGCTTTGGAAGAACTGATACCAGGGATAAACTGCCAAATAGTTCTCATGACTCTCCAGAGGTGCAAATTCAGCCCTTTACTAAGAAATGTGAAGGTCGAACCCAGAGCCTTTTATATGCTAGGCAAATGCTCTACCACTGAGCCACATCTGATCCCAAGTTTGTAATTATATATATAATTTTTTTCTTTTGGGGGGAATGTTTCACTGTGTAGCCTTGGCTGCCCTGGAACTCACTCTGTGGACCAGGCTGGCCTCGAACTCACAGAGATCTGCCTGCCTCTGCCTCCGGAGTGGCTGGGATCAAAGGTGTGCACCACCACGCACAGCAGTTATAATTTTTAACATCTTACTTTTCTCAGTGATATTGTGACAGTTCATCATCAAGAAAAACTTTTTCTCCCAGCACTTGGAAGGCAGAAGTAAGCGCATCTCTATGAGTTCGAGGCCAGTCTGGTCTCCAGAGAGATGCCAGAACAGCTAGGACTGTTACACAGAGAAACCCTGTCTCAAAAAAGTACCAAAAAAGAGAAGAAGGGAGGAGGTGGGAAGGAGGAGAAGGAGGAGGGAAAAAAAGAAAGGAAAAACACTTCCTTCTTGGTTGGTCAGGGACCTGGAAGGAAGCAGGTGGTACACGAGGAAGGCTTATTTGGAGAGAATTCATTGAGAAGGCAGAAGCTGAGATCATAGGAGAGCTCATTCGGTTCTCCCTGAGCAAGTGTGATGACAGCAGCCAGGACAAGCGCTCTGTGTGTTGTCACCTTTGGGTGAAGATGGATGGTGGCACTCAGGTCAGCCTGCGGGACTGTAGACTGCAGGGAGCTGAGTCGGTCTCCTCCCTGACATCTGTTCATGAGTTCTGCGGGGATTTGCCTGCCTCACAGGACAACATGATTTGCCGTGTAATTGTGGAGGAAAGGATTCTGTCACCAGCCCACACTTTCTTCTCCGTTTCTCACCAAGGGGATAATTAGAGGAGGAAAACAAACAAATGCCCCGGAGTTGGTAGATTACAGGAATGGGGTGCTGGGGAGTAGAGATGGTGTATCCTCTAGAGACCCCATTCCAGGGCAAATGACAAGAAAATTAGGAAGAAGCACCACCTTGAGATCTTTCCCTTCTCTGGCACCCCTGTCTCCCCAAGGTCTCCTTTGCCTAGACAAGAAAGGCACACCTGTCACCTTCACCAGGCAGATAATGCTACCACGTTTACACAAAGTTCTTAAAGAGCCAGAGGATCAAGGGAATGGGAGCAAGCCTCTTCCTTTGAACTCTATTCTAAGCAGCGGAGAAAAAGCATGTAATTATGTTTGCAGTAGTTACAAGCTGCTTTAAGTGGTATGCCTAAGCTCTGGTGCTTGCGTGTGCACAGGAAAGGTGTACATTTCAGTGTGAGATTAGAACGTACAGCTCTAGACAAACTAAGAATGTCGGACTGGAAGGTCTGTCAAATGGAGGCAAGAGTTATCACCATCCTAGATGCCTGTGTGTCGTTCATATTTAAGAATCCAGCATTTCCCAACCTGTATTCCATACAGCAGCAGGAACATAAAGCAGGATGCTGGGAGTCCTTGGGTTAGGACATACTTTGGTACCTCTGCTGCAGATCTGTGATATGCAAAGTTCTGAAACATATGTATGTAATTGTATATATACATATGTGAGCATACGTGTGCTTATACACACACATATTCAGTTTTCCATTGAATTATCCTACCTGTCTGGTCAGACGTCAATGTTTGAAAACCCAAAACACATCAGTTAGCAAGTTTTATTTTGGAATAACATATTGGCAAAGAACAGAACTTGGAAAAATGTATAAAATAAACTCCCAGATGAGTTAACTTTATGAAGTTAGTCCTGTGCACTGCTAAACCTCTTGGCCTTTTTAAAAAGAGCTGTTGCTGCTTTAAGTTCTAGACCCAGTAGATGTAAAAGTGAACTTTTTGCCAGGCGGTGGTGGTGCACACCTTTAATCCCAGTACTCGGGAGGCAGAGGCAGGTGGATCTCTGTGAGTTCAAGGTCAGTCTGTACTACGGAGCTAGTTCCAGGACAGCCTGGGCTACTCAGAGACACCCTGTCTTGAAACCTCCCCTGCAAAAGTATACTTTGCTATGCTTCCTTTGTAGTGAGCTATGCATACCTTTTTTATGTAAACTATACATACTTTTGTACATAAAGCCACGGACTTTAAAGCAGATGTAGCCCAGATGATTGTGGTTCATTTGCTTCTAACTGCAGTTGGGTTCTGCCAGAGGCTATCCCCAGACGTGGATTCTTTTGTCTTTCCTTCTCAGAAACAAATGTTTATGTTATATAAAGAGTTATGGACCGAGGTCTTTGAAGTTTTTTTTTGTTTGTTTGCTGCATCTTCCTCTTCCTCCTCCTCTTCTTCTTGGCACGTGCTTATGTGTGTTATATATGCAGGTGTATGGGTGTGTGCACGTGCATAACTGAGAAGTTGATGTAGGTGTCTTCCTCAGTTGCTGTCTATTTATGGAAGCAGAGTGTCTCGCTGGATATGGAACTTGCAAATCCCAGCTGGTCTAGCTAAGCAGTGCCCAGGGGAATCCTCTGCTTCGGCTGGCGTTACAGATAGCCACCACACTCGCTTGACACATACCATGGCGCTGGGCACCCACATTGCCTCATGCTCGCCTGGCAAGAGCTTTTTCCTACTGTACCATCCCCCCAGCCCACAGAGGCCCCACATTTTGTGACAATGTTTCAGTGTATCAGAAGACTCTCTTGTGTGAGAGGCTTACCTACCCTTAGGTGCAGGTCTCTTTACATGGTAGAACTTGCTTTTCTGTCTTGTCCTAAAACTACTGCAGCCAGTACAGCATAAATTAGAATGAAGATCTGAGTCCCAAGTAAACAGTAATTGCCGTGTGCATGAGCGGCCTACAACAATTTTTGTTATTCACAAGGCACAAGTATATATCTTCTAAATTCTTTCATGTAATACACATAGCAGTATATACTATACTTGTGTGAAAAATAAAACTTCACTGTTTTCTTTTAAAACTTCTTCCTTTATATTTCAGAGACAATTGTAATTGTTAAAAATTATAATGACATTAATTAATTAATTAATTTATGTT